GATAGAAGGAGTCAGGCGCAGGAGAGTAATACGCATAAACAAAAAGTTTATTCCGTCGATAAACAGTTGCGCAAGCATGCGACAACAACACTCAGGCACAGGGGAAATATCTACCCGGGCAAACAACAAGGTAAGGGTACCTCAACCGAGCTACACACAGCTCACAACAGACAAGGAAGCAGAGGGAACACTTATACAATGACTAATTGGGGATAAGGACCAGGTGTGTGTGATTAATTAGACAAGACAAGTGGAGTGATGATAAATGGATCGGCAGCAGCTAGTAAGCCGGTGACGACGAACGCCGAAACCTGCCCAAGCAAGGAGGGGAGGCAGCCTCGGCGGAAGTCGTGACAGAAATTGAGCTCAGGTGCATCCTGTTTCCATTGATCGTCCTTGAGATGTTTCTACAACTTGATTGGAGTCCACCTGTGGTAAATTAAATTGATTGGACATGATTTGGAAAGGCACACACCTGTCTATATAAGGTCCCACAGTTGACAGTTCATGTCAGAGCAAAAACCAAGCCATGAGGTCGAAATAATTGTCCATAGAGCTTACAGACAGGATTGTGGCGAGGCACAGATCTGGGGAAGGGTACCAAACAATTTCTGCAGCATTGAAGGTTCCTAGGAACACAGTGGCCTCCATCATTCTTAAATGGAAAAGTTTGGAACCACCAAGACTCTTCCTAGAGCTGGCCGCCTGGCCAAACTGAGCATTCGGGGTGAAGGACTTTGGTCAGGGAGGTGACCAAGAACCCGATGGTCACTCTGACAGAGCTCCAGAGTTCCTCTGTGGAGATGGGGGAACCATCCAGAAGGACAACCATCTCTGCAGCACTGCACCAATCAGGCCTTTATGGTAGAGTGGCCAGACGGAAGCCACTCTTCAGTACAAGGCACATGACAGCCCGCTTGGAGTTTGCCAAAAGGCACCTAAAGGACTCTCAGACCATGAGAAACAAGATTCTCTGGTCTGATGAAACCAAGATTGAACTCTTTGGCCTGAATGCCAAGCGTCACGTCTGGAGGAAACCTGGCACCATCCCTATGGTGAAGCATGGTGATGGCAGCATCATGCTGTGGGGATGTTTTCCCCATCCAACCTGACAGCGCTTGAGAGGATCTGCAGAGAAGAATGTGAGAAACTCCCCAAATACAGGTGTGCCAAGCTTGTAGCGTCATACCCAAGAAGACTCGAAGCTGTAATCGCTGCCAAAGTTGCTTCAACAAAGTACTGAGTAAAGGGTCTGAATACTTACGTAAATGAGATCTGTTTTTTATTTTTAATACATTTGCAAACATTTATAAAAACCTGTTTTTGCTTTGTCATTATGGGGTATTGTGTGTAGATGAGATGATGAGGGGGAAAAAACTATTTAATCAATTTTAGAATAAGGCTGTAAGGTAACAAAATGTGGAAAAAATCAAGGGGTCTGAATACTTTACTTTCCGAATCCACTGTAAAAGTGAGGATCGCCACACTATTATAAACAGCTATATAGGTAGAAAAGGGAAAATGTACTGTACATATTTGAACTTCCCTCAGTTGATAATGTCTTGCATTGTGTTAATATCTGAACGTGTTCCCTCAGTTGATAATGTCTTGCATTATGTTAATATCTGAACGTGTTCCATCAGTTGATAATGTCTTGCATTATGTTAATATCTGAACGTGTTCCCTCAGTTGATAATGTCTTGCATTATGTTAATATCTGCGTTATCTTATGTAGAATAAAATCCTTTTCCTTCCCTCTATTGGTTCAATGACGCTTGATGCAGTTTACTATCATTGCCAGTACAGTCAACACTGAACCTCTGAATAACCATTGATAATCCACATGGTATGAACCTATCGGCAAGGAAAAGTAATTAAAGCACATTTTAGACTTTCGGAAAACACTAAATTGTGGTTAAAATAAGTATTGTGTTGCAAGGGAACAGCACTAAACGATTTGCCCTGAACAAACATAACATGTTAAAGTGAAACGCAGCCTCTCTCACTGTTTTGTGCCTGGAGGGAGGGAGAGAAGGAGAGAGAGAGAGAGAGAGAGAGAGAAACGCAGCCTCTCTCACTGTTTTGTGCCTGGAGGGAGGGAGAGAAGGAGAGAGAGAGAGAGAGAGAGAGAGAGAGAGAGTGAAACGCAGCCTCTCTCACTGTTTTGTGCCTGGAGGGAAGGAGAGAGAGAGAGAGGGTGGGGTCCATAGAATCAGCTGCGGGGAGGTCTTAGCTGTCAAGAAACATGAAAGGAAAAACAGACACACAAAAGAATGGGAGAGCTCTCCTCTTAGGGGGGGGGTGGGGGCAGACAGCACCACAGCAGCATTATTTCACACACACAGACACACACGCACAGACACACACGCACAGACACACGCACAGACACACACACACACATGCACAGACACACACGCACAGACACACACACACAGACACACGCACAGACACACACACACACATGCACAGACACACACGCACAGACACACACGCACACAAACACACACACACACACACACACACACACACACACACACACACATTACACAAGAGGTCTCATCCAGACACAGATGAATGGTACTGTAACGCTTCCTTTTGCCACGGAAATAACCAGATAAATATTGTGTTACCGCCGTAACTTAACAGTGATAATGTTTTAAGATTTAAGGCTTTACCTCTGGCTTCTCTCTTTCATGGTGCAGGAACAGTTGGTTTGCTAAAAGCGTGACTTCCCAGGGGCAGGCGGCGTTTGTAATAATATATTACAGTAACCAATAACCAGGATAGCCCTGTAATACTGTCTGGCAAGGCCAGGATAGCCCTGTAATACTGTCTGGCAAGGCCAGGATAGCCCTGTAATACTGTCTGGCAAGGCCAGGATAGCCCTGTAATACTGTCTGGCAAGGCCAGGATAGCCCTGTAATACTGTCTGGCAAGGCCAGGGGGGAAGGGATGGGTCCTCCTCTACTGAGCACACAGGTTGTATATCACACACACACACACACACACAAATACACACACACACACACAGAGCGGTAAACCAAGTCAAAGAGCACAAAAGGAGGAGAAGAAAACTGGTAACTAACATGCAGGAGGAAGAGGAGAACACTGGTAACTAACATGCAGAGGACAAGATAACTGGTAACTAACATGCAGGAGGAGAGGAGAACTTGTAGCTAACATGCAGGAGGAGAAGATAACTGGTAACTAACATGCAGAGGACAAGATAACTGGTAACTAACATGCAGGAGGAGAGGAGAACTTGTAGCCAACATGCAGGAGGAGAAGAGAACTGGTAACTAACATGCAGAGGACAAGATAACTGGTAACTAACATGCAGGAGGAGAGGAGAACTTGTAGCTAACATGCAGGAGGAGAAGAGAACTGGTAACTAACATGCAGAGGACAAGATAACTGGTAACTAACATGCAGGAGGAGAGGAGAACTTGTAGCTAACATGCAGGAGGAGAAGAGAACTGGTAACTAACATGCAGAGGACAAGATAACTGGTAACTAACATGCAGGAGGAGAGGAGAACTTGTAGCTAACATGCAGGAGGAGAAGAGAACTGGTAACTAACATGCAGAGGACAAGATAACTGGTAACTAACATGCAGGAGGAGAGGAGAACTTGTAGCTAACATGCAGGAGGAGAAGAGAAACTGGTAACTAACATGCAGGAGGAGAAGAGAACTGGTAACTAACATGCAGTAGGAGAAGAGAACTGGTAACTAACATGCAGGAGGAGAAGAGAAACTGGTAAATAACATGCAGGTGGAGAAGAGAAACTGGTAACTAACATGCAGGAGGAGAACTGGTAACTAACATGCAGGAGGAGAAGAGAACTGGTAACTAACATGCAGGAGGAAAACTGGTAACTAACATGCAGGAGGAGAAGAGAACTGGTAACTAACATGCAGGAGGAGAACTGGTAACTAACATGCAGGAGGAAACAGTGCTATGTGAGTGTGTGATGTTCAGCAGTGGGGGCAGCCCAGAGCTGAATCAGTAATGAGACGTGTCCGCTGGAATGTCTCTGCGTCTCGTCCCTCTCTTCTCTCTCTCTGTAATGGTCTAGTTGTCTGTAGTGTGGTAATAATTATATAATAATTGGTCATTTAGCAGATGCTCTTATCCAGAGCGACTTACAGGAGCAATTAGGGTTGAGTGCCTTGCTCAAGGGCACATCGACAGATTTTTCACCTAGTCGGCTCGGGGATTAGAACCAGCGACCTTTCGGTTACTGGCACACTGCTGTTATGTCCGTGTAGACTATCCAATGCTCCCACTCATTTCATGGCCCAGTGTGACTCCGAGATGCTAGCAGCTACTTTTTCATACTTTGTTATTCTATGCAGCCATGACATGCACAATACCAGTAATTAAAAATAATAACGGGGAAGCAAAGCTTTCACCCTCTCCCTCCACCTCAAGTTTTAACCCAGACATCTAATGGAAGTCATTGATGGAAGGCATATATTAGGTGGATCGGAGTAGGTAGAAACAGCATTAGCTTCAGTTAGCTGCACCAGGACTCCTGTACTGTGTTAGGGATCAAAGGATGGGGAAGAAAGTCAGCGAAATGGAAGGAGGGACACGCACACACTGACCCAGCCAGCACGTTGCGCTTTACAAGCCACTCACTGTTCTCAAGTTGCCTTGTTCATTTATCCTCATCTAAATAATAGCAAATTGAATACATTGAGTATGAACATTTCTATTTTTCTAATGTATTTTTCTTTCTGTTTGCCCAATGTAGTGTTTTAATATTATCTTATGATTTTATATTTTTGGCCCAAAAGTTGAATATCTATCCACTACACTTTATGAAGCTGCAACATTGTGACAATAATTTAATGTAGTTACATGCATCAGCGCTCATTGACGCGAAAATGAAAGATTTTTCCTCTGCATCTTGGTGACGTCATGCAAACGATCCTCCGAAACCGGAAGAGAGGAAATTACACCGTTATCTCTGAATGTTTACACCGAAAGCAAAAGATGAATCCTCCGATTATCAACTCTACTAACTCGGTCACAACTTCCACGAAAAGTACGTTTCTGATACGGGGCAGTATGTTTCATTTCATGCATGCATCGCTCATTCATAACACGCTGTAGCTAGCTTAGCTAACGGTGACGTTACTGTTAGTTAGCATAAATAAGGAAAGAGCTACGCTACACATGCTGGCAAGGCTTCGATGTCACTTTGCTATCGAATAAGCTTATGTTTTATAGCCTTGATATACCCGTTTTGATATTTGATAACAAGCTATTTCTCACCCAGACAAGCTAGCATGCTGAAACTTCTCTTGACTCTCTTGCCTACCACTTAGCTAGCTAACGTTACTTGCCACTGTAGCCAACTAGCTAACTTGCTACTCTCAATAAATTGTAAAAATTCAAATAATAGCTAGCTAGCTGAGTTTACTGAACTCCATGATGGAAGATATCCATATTACAGGGATTTAAACGAGAGCTAAGTGATAGCTAGCACGATACTGTTGCCAAACATTATAGCTATCATTTGAGAGATTATAGTTATTATTTATAGGGGGGTCCAGCAGCATCAACAAGAGTTTGCATGCATCACACTTAATTAAAGCCAGGAAATATAAACATTATTTGAACCTGCTACCTGGAATTCGCTAGCTAGTACCAATGTGTAAACCTACCCCTATGCGCAAAATACGTATTGTGTTCACTGGGTAGCTTCATGTTAGTAAGCTGGCTAATGCCTTAACGTTGTACTGTGCTGTCTACACCTCACTTCTGCAGGGAAGAGAGAGGCCGAGCGCTCCGTTAACTGGACGGTGGAGGAGACCCAAGTGTTGCTGTGTGCCTGGAGCGACGAGCATGTACAGAAGAGCCTGGCGGAGAACGTCCGAAACCGCCATGTCTTCAAACACCTCTCAACCCGCATGTGTGACCTGGGCTTCTCACGCAGCCCCCACCAGTGCCGGCTACGTGTCAAGACCCTCAAGGCCAACTACGTCAGAGCCAAGCTGCTGAGGAGCGTGGATGACTCCCAGCCCTGCAGTTTCAGGTACTACGCTGAGATGGATGCTGTGCTGGGGAGAAACTGTGCAGTGGATGGGATGGGAGGAAGGTGCCATATTGGATCTCCTGAAGGTATAGGAGGAGGGCTCCTTTTTGGGTCTGAAGGGATAAGAGGAGGAGGACGCCATTTTGGATCTCCTGATGGGATAGTAGGAGGACGCCATTTTGGGTCTGTCGATGGAATAGGGACAGAACGCCATTCTGGGTCTCCTGAGGGGATAGGAGGACAGCGGTATCTGGTCTCTGAGGTGAAGGAGGAGGAGGAGGAGGACAGAGAGGCAGAAGACACAGACGAGTATGATTCCAACGGCGTAGGAATCAACGGTCGGCCGCTGGCGGTCTCGGGTGGAAGACGCCATGATGTTTTTCTAGACCACCTCAACGTCTATCATGAACCTGTTGGTATGTATTTGTCTGTCTGTCACACTTTCTGCTGTCAATGCCACTGATTATCATTCACATTATCATTAGTAACAAATCTTAGATGTGTTTTTCACTGAGCTCCAATCTCCGATAGAAACTGAAGTACAATACAATACTGACTGTAACACAGTTGATCTAGTCTTTATACAATTTCAAATCAAATGTCACAATGTTGGGAAAATAAAGCTGGAATGAATTAGAATCATTGTCTAGTTCATCTCTTCACCGCAGGTCATCCATTGGAGGAGGACCTGAGCTCCAGATCCCCCTCCCCACCACCACCACCACCACCACCACCCAAGCCTGCCTCCACTCTTCCTCCACCCCCAGACCCTAGTCCCGGCCTGAGCCGTGGTACCACCATCCCCTCCACCCAGTCCGTGGAGCCTGCGTTGAAGCACCTGGCTGACTGCTTCCAGAGGCTGGTCTCAGAGTCCCGGGAGTTGATGATGCAGCTGGAGGGACAGAGGCAGGAGCAGGTCAGAGACAGACATACAGTCGATGTCGGAAGTTTACATACACTTAGGTTGGAGTCATTAAAACTCGTTTTTTTCAACCACTAACACAAATTTCTTGTTAACAAACTAAAGTTTTGGCAAGTCGGTTAGGACATCTACTTTGTGCATGACAAAAGTAATTTTTCCAAAAATTGTTTACAGACAGATTATTTCACTTATAATTCACTGTATCACAATTCCAGTGGGTCAGAAGTTTACATACACTAAGTTGAATGTGCCCTTTAAACAGCTTGGAAAATTCCAGAAAATGATGTCATGGCTTTAGAAGCTTGCGATAGGCTAATTGACATCATTTGAGTCAATTGGAGGTGTACCTGTGGATGTATTTCAAGGCCTACCTTCAAACTCAGTGCCTCTTTGCTTGACATCATGGGAAAATCTAAATAAATCAGCGAAGACCTCAGAAAAAAGATTGTAGACCTCCACAAGTCTGGTTCATCCTTGGGAGCAATTTCCAAACGTCTGAAGGTACCACGTTCATCTGTACAAACAATAGTATGCAAGTATAAACACCATGGGACCACGCAGCCTTCATACCGCTCGAGTCCTATATCAACATAACCTGAAAGGCCGCTCAGCAAGGAAGAAGCCACTGCTCCAAAACCGCCTGACTACGGTTTGCAACTGCACATGGGGACAAAGATCGTACTTTTTGGAGAAATGTCCTCTGGTCTGATGAAACAAAAATATAACTGTTTGGCCATAATGACCATCGTTATGTTTGTAGGAAAAAGGGGTGCCTTGCAAGCCGAAGAACACCATCCCAACCGTGAAGCACGGGGGTGGCAGCATCATGCTGTGGGGGTGCTTTGCTGCAGGAGGGACTGGTGCACTTCACAAAATAGATGGCATCATGAGGAAGGAAAATTATGTGGATATATTGAAGCAACATCAAGACATCAGTCAGGAAGTTAAAGCTTGGTCGCAAATGGGTCTTCCAAATGGACAATGACCCCAAGCATACTTCCAAAGTTGTGGCAAAATGGCTTAAGGACAACAAAGTCAAGGTATTGGAGTGGCCATCACAAAGCCCTGACCTCAATCCTATAGAAAATGTGTGGGCAGAACTGAAAAAGCGTGTGCGAGCAAGGAGGCCTATAAACCTGACTCAGTTACACCAGCTCTGTCAGGAGGAATGGGCCAAAATTCACCCAACTTATTGTGGGAAGCTTGTGGAAGGCTACCCGAACCGTTCGACCCAAGTTAAACAATTTAAAGGCAATGCTACCAAATACTTATTGAGTGTATGTAAACTTCTGACCCACTGGGAATGTGATTAAATAAATAAAAGCTGAAATGAATCACTCTCTACTATTATTCTGACATTTCACATTCTTAAAATAAAGTGGTGATCCTAACTGACCTAAGACAGGGAATTTTGACTAGGAGTAAATGTCAGGAATTGTGAAAAACTGAGTTTAAATGTATTTGGCTAAGGTGTATGTAAATTTCCAACTTCAACTGTATATACCGTATTCTATTATACTGTATTTATTCAATGCCACTCCGACATTGCTCGTCCTAATATTTATATATTTCTTAATTCCATTCTTTAACTTTTAGATTTGTGTGTTGTTGTGAATATTTAGATACTACTGCACTGTTGGAGGTGTATGTAAAGTTCCGACTTTATAGGGAATAGGGTGTCATTTCGGACGCATACAGTTCTGCCAACTGTTAAACTGGACGGCATGTTAGCACCGTTGAGCATACCATTTATCCGTTCATGATGAGTATTTAGATTCTTATTAGAATTTTAGACATTCCGTCAGTCATGGTATTGCTTTAAAAATCTGAAGATTGCTCATGGGAAGTTGACATGGCTGCCATAGAATTATAGTCAAGTAAATCCATCATAATGCTTTCGGTAGAAACCTCAAAGTCTAAACGTATCTATCTATGGGGTCGTTCCACCTCATAATGCACCAGAAAGAGGATTTCAACACACACCATCTCCGATTGTTCTAAAATCGTTTCTGTAGGTAGAAACAGATAGGATTAGCATTCCTGAAACATTATTTTGTTGAAATATAATTTGATCTCTGAAACAATTAAGCTGATTTAATTGCACCCAAATTGGCCATTTTAAATTATAGGATTCATATAATATTCATTAAATATAGTACATGACATCTGATTTGGACCAAAACAATTTCTAACAATGAGTAAGATATGAGGATTCCAAAGAAATGGTGAAAAGCCACCCACGGACCACCCACATCCCATGCCAATCCCACCCCAACAGCCATTGTATATAGTATCAGTTCTCTGTCTGACCAGTAGTATGGAGCTGCAGCTTGCTGTATTGTTTCTTCATCCTATGTAATGTATTCTCAGTGAATTTTGTTATTTTTTATTATTTTTTTCCTCCCTTGTTCAGAGAAATTAGTCATTGAAGTTGTTAGGTTTATGTCCCATTCTACATCCTGATATTACCAGGTTCTGACCACTAGATGGTGCTGTTCCTAATATTAGGAACAGCACCATCTAGGAACAGCAACCCCCCTCAATGTTAAAGGGATAGTTCACCCAAATTACAAAATGACATTGGTTTCCTTACCCTGTAAGTCCACGGACAAGATATGACAGCAACCCATGCTTTGATTTTGTTTTGCCTGGCCACTGTTTAAAATGCTAACTTTTTAGCATTTGTGGCACAAGTCCAATCTACAGTGGGGGAAAAAAGTATTTGTCAGCCACCAATTGTGCAAGTTCTCCCACTTAAAAAGATGAGAGAGGCCTGTAATTTTCATCATAGGTACACGTCAACTATGACAGACAAAATGAGAAGAAAAAAAATCCAGAAAATCACATTGTAGGATTTGTAATGAATTTATTTGCAAATTATGGTGGAAAATAAGTATTTGGTCAATAACAAAAGTTTCTCAATACTTTGTTATATACCCTTTGTTGGCAATTATACAGGTCAAACGTTTTCTGTAAGTCTTCACAAGGTTTTCACACACTGTTGCTGGTATTTTGGCCCATTCCTCCATGCAGATCTCTTCTAGAGCAGTGATGTTTTGGGGCTGTCGCTGGGCAACACAGACTTTCAACTCCCTCCAAAGATTTTCTATGGGGTTGAGATCTGGAGACTGGCTAGGCCACTCCAGGACCTTGAAATGCTTCTTACGAAGCCACTCCTTCGTTGCCCGGGCGGTGTGTTTGGGATCATTGTCATGCTGAAAGACCCAGCCACGTTTCATCTTCAATGCCCTTGCTGATGGAAGGAGGTTTTCACTCAAAATCTCACGATACATGGCCCCATTCATTATTTCCTTTACACGGATCAGTCGTCCTGGTCTCTTTGCAGAAAAACAGCCCCAAAGCATGATGTTTCCACCCCCATGCTTCACAGTAGGTATGGTGTTCTTTGGATGCAACTCAGCATTCTTTGTCCTCCAAACACGACGAGTTGAGTTTTTACCAAAAAGTTCTATTTTGGTTTCATCTGACCATATGACATTCTCCCAATCCTCTTCTGGATCATCCAAATGCACTCTAGCAAACTTCAGACGGGCCTGGACATGTACTGGCTTAAGCAGGTGGACACGTCTGGCACTGCAGGATTTGAGTCCCTGGCGGCGTAGTGTGTTACTGATGGTAGGCTTTGTTACTTTGGTCCCAGCTCTCTGCAGGTCATTCACTAGGTCCCCCCGTGTGGTTCTGGGAATTTTTGCTCACCGTTCTTGTGATCATTTTGACCCCACGGGGTGAGATCTTGCGTGGAGCTCCAGATCGAGGGAGATTATCAGTGGTCTTGTATGTCTTCCATTTCCTAATAATTGCTCCCACAGTTGATTTCTTCAAACCAAGCTGCTTACCTATTGCAGATTCAGTCTTCCCAGCCTGGTGCAGGTCTACAATTTTGTTTCTGGTGTCCTTTGACAGCTCTTTGGTCTTGGCCATAGTGGAGTTTGGAGTGTGACTGTTTGAGGTTGTGGACAGGTGTCTTTTATACTGATAACAAGTTCAAACAGGTGCCATTAATACAGGTAACGGGTGGAGGACAGAGGAGCCTCTTAAAGAAGAAGTTACAGGTCTGTGAGAGCCAGAAATCTTGCTTGTTTGTAGGTGACCAAATACTTATTTTCCACCATAATTTGCAAATAAATTCATTAAAAATCCTACAATGTGATTTTCTGAAAAATAAAATTCTCATTTTGTCTGTCATAGTTGACGTGTACCTATGATGAAAATTACAGGCATCTCTCATCTTTTTAAGTGGGAGAACTTGCACAATTGGTGGCTGACTAAATACTTTTTTTCCCCCACTGTAAGTCAATGGTCCCTATATTAGCATTTTCACGCTTCATTTTCAAAGCATCCTAAAGTATCAAAAATTATATTGTGTGACTCCATTACAAAACAGTGGCATGGGTTGCTGTCGTACCTTGTACGTAGTAAGGAAACCAATATGTCATTTTAGGGACATAAACCTTACAACTTCAATGACTAATTTCTCTGGAGAAAAAAAACCCATCACCAAATTCAATGAGAATACATTACATAGGATGAAGAAACAATACAGCAAGCTGCAGCGCCATACTACTGGTCAGACTTTGCCTTCGGAAAGTATTCAGACCCCTTGACTTTTTCCACATTTTGTTACGTTACAGCCTTATTCTAAAATGGATTAAATCGTTTTGTTCCCTCATCAATCTACACATAATACCCCATAATGACAAAGCAAAAAACGTTTTTTATATATTTTTTTGTGCAAATGTATTAAAAATAAAACATCTGAAATATCACATTTACATATTCAGACCCTTTACTTTGTTGAAGCACCTTTGGCAGTGATTACAGCCTCGAGTCTTCTTGGGTATGACACTACAAGCTTGACACACCTGTATTTGAGGAGTTTCTCCCATTCTTCTCTGCAGATCCTCTCAAGCTCTGTCAGGTTGGATGGGGAGCATCGCTGCATAGCTATTTTCAGGTCTCTCCAGAGATGTTTGATCGGGTTCAAGCCCGGGCTCTGGCTGGGCCACTCAAGGACATTCAGAGACTTGTCCCGAAGCCACTCCTGCGTTGTCTTGGCTGTGTGCTTAGGGTCGTTGTCCTGTTGGAAGGTGAACCTTCGCCCCAGTCTGAGGTCCTGAGCACTCTGGAGCCGGTTTTCATCTAGGATTTCTCTGTACTTCGCTCCATTCCTCTTTCTCTCAATCCTGACTAGTCTCCCAGTCCCTACCGCTGAAAAACATCCCCACAACATGATGCTGCCACCACCATGCTTCACCATAGGGATGGTGCCATGTTTCCTCCAGATGTGATGCTTGGCATTCAGGCCAAAGAGTTCAATCTTGGTTTCATCAGACCAAAGAATCTTGTTTCTCATGGTCTGAGAGTCCTTTAGGTGCCTTTTGGCAAACTCCAAGCGGGCCTTTTACTGAGGAGTGGCTTTCGTCTGGCCACTCTACCATAAAGTCCTGATTGGTGGAGTGCTGCAGAGATGGTTGTCCTTCTGGAAGGTTCTCCCATCTCCACAGAGGAACTCTGGAGCTCTGTCAGAGTGACCATCAGGTTCTTGGTCACCTCCCTGACCAAGGCCCTTCTCCCTCGATTGCTCAGTTGGTCCAGGCGGCCAGCTCTAGGAAGTGTATGGTGGTTCCAAACTTCTTCCATTTAAGAATGATGGCGGCCCCGGTGTTCTTGGGGACCTTCAATGCTGCAGAAATGTTTTGGTACCCTTTCCCAGATCTGTGCCTCGACACAATCCTGTCTCTGAGCTCTATGGACAATTCCTTCAAACTCATGGCTTGGTTTTTGCTCTGACATGCACTGTCAACTGTGGGACCTAATGTAGACAGGTGTGTGCCTTTTCATAATCATGTCCAATCAATTTAATTTACCACAGGTGGACTCCAATCAAGTTGTAGAAACATCTCAAGGGTGATCAATGGAAACAGGATGCACCTGAGCTCAATTTCAAGTCTCATAGAAAAGGGTCTGAATACTTACGTAAATAAGATATTTCAGTTTTTTTATTTTTAATACATTTGCAAAAATTTCAAAACCTGTTTTCACTTTGTCATTATGGGGTATTGTATATAGATTGAGGGAAAAAATATTTATTGAATATTATATTATATGAATCCTAGAATTTAAATGGCCTGTTTGGGTACAATCAATTAACTTAATTTCTCAGAGATCAAATTAGATTTTAATAAAATAATGTTGCAGGAATGCTAATCTTACCTGTTTCTAACTACAAAAAACGATTTCAGAACAATCTGAGATGGTGTGTGTCATGGCTTACTGAAATGACCTGGAACGACCCTGTTTGTGTGTGTGTCTATCTCAGGTTCGCTGGCAGCAGGAGCTCCTGTCTCAGTGGCTGGAGAGAGAGGAGAGGAGGCAAAGGGAGGCGGCAGACAGGGAGGACCGGAGAGAGAGGGCTCGGATGGAGCATGAGGTCAGGGTACTGCAGCTCCTCACTGGACTGGCCCAGAACCAGCAGAGGAATCAGACCTATCACAGCTGCTGCCACCAATGTAGTAGGACGGGTTGGTTCCGGGGCCTCGGCCACTACCAGACAAGATAATGGAGCTGAGGACAGAGACAGGACTGATTCAGAGACCACATAGACAGGGTGGGATGGGATGCAGACCCGGGTCAAATACAGCATTTGACCTACAATTATGTATTTGACTCGGGTCTTGTGGGGTGAACATTCGTTGCCATCTAAGTTGGAAAGGACTTGTAGGCTCTCAGAATGTGTTTACCTCTTTGCCTGGTCACTTGTTTGGAGTGTACATGAAATTCCCCTACATTCTGCTTTTTAAAAAAAAGAAACTATTTAATGGTTTAATCCTAGGATTTCTTAGGATAACAAGAACAATTTGGTGGGTGCTTATATTGGTCCTATTTCAAAAATGTTTGTTTTGGAAATGTTTTTTTTGTTGTTTTTTTTGCATATCCCAACTCCCCCTGAGACACCCTAAGAGGTGGCCAGGGTCTCAGTGAAACACTGAGACAATCTCAACTGTAATGTGTATATTATGTTCTGTGCCATTTGACAGTTTATTATGAACCATCTTACCAATAAAATGCATTGGTATCTAACGGTTATTTTTATACATTCGTTTACTCTTATCTATGCCATTCACGTTGCTGCCGGATGTAATTCACACGTCATCCTAATGTTTGTGTCTAATCAACACAACACACGTGTGTGGGTGTTGTTCCTCGGGAAAAGGTAGGAATGTGTCTGTCAACGTTCTCAGACACATTTAGGATGTCACCATCATCATCATCATCTCATCATCAGGGCTACTGCAGCTTTTCTCATGGTAGCTGAATGGGCAGGGGAGGTTAGCCCTCCACAGGTCGGCCCAGCTAAAAGAGGTGTTAGGGATGAAGGGTTGGGGTTAGAGGTCAATTCAACATCAATTCAGGAACTCCCAGGAAGTGAATTGAAATTCAAACATCTGAAAAGTGAGTCGTGTCTATTTTACATTCTTTCAATTAGACATCGAATGAAAAGTGATGGTCGGTCAAAATTAGACTCCACCGCCCTTCTGTTCATCGCCCCATATCAAAGACACAAATCCCGTAGAGGCTATGTTTAAATCCATGTCAGCCACAGTCACAGTATAACTGATGTCGTCATCCTGCTATTAACTTCTCCTTGCCTGACATTACAGTGTAGTCATTTAGCAGACGCTCTTATCCAGAGCGACTTACAGTTAGTGAGTGAGTGCATACATTAAATAATAAATAATATAATAATAATAATATGCCATTTAGCAGACGCTTTTATCCAAAGCGACTTACAGTCATGCGTGCATACATTTATTTTTTTGGTGTATGGGTGGTCCCAGGGATCGAACCCACTACGTTGGCGTTACAAGCGCCGTGCTCTACCAGCTGAGCTACAGAGGACCACTGTGTCTATCTCAGGTTAAAAAATAATAATATTAATCATACTGGCCCCCCGTGGGTAACGAACCCACAACCCTGGTGTTGCAAACGCCATGCTCTACATCCCTGCCGGCCATTCCCTCCCCTAGCCTGGACGACGCAGGGCCAATTGTACGCCGCCCCATGGGTTTTCCTAAACGTTGCCATACAAGGTACCATTATACCCATTGTCTTGGTCATCTGATTACACCTCATGGTTGGGTTAGCAACTGGTTATTGAACCCATCTCAAGCAGTTTGGTCATGATCATTACATTTTAGTCATTTAGCGTCTGCTAGCGTGCATACATATTTTTTATTTTTTTCATACTGGCCCCCCCAAGGGAAACGAACCCACAACCCTGGTGTTGCAAACACCATGCTTACATCCCTGCCGGCCATTCCCTCCCATAGCCTGGACGACGCTGGGCCAATTGTACGCCGCCCCATGGGTCTCCAGGTCGCAGCCGGCTACGACAGAGCCTGGATTCGAACCAGGATCTCTAGTGGCACAGCCTTAGACCACTGCGCCACTCGGGAGGTTAAATGCACTGAAAAAATATGGATTACAGCATATGTCAATTTGTATAATTCCAGATGATCTAATCTAATACTGTAGCCGCATATGGGTGGATTTGCTGTTACGCCATGTTCAAAACAACTGAGAACTCTGAAAATTACATGGTCAAATCATGACGTCAGTGATCTTCAGGTTGGAGAGTCGGAACTCTGGAGTTAGAATTCAGAGTTCCCAGTTGCTTTGAACGCACTGAAGTCTGAGATTTCCTAGTTCCCAGTTGTTTTGAACGCTGCATTATACAGCTGTAGCATTGAGTAAGAGAGAGAGAGAATGTGTGTGTGTGTGTGTGTCAGAGAAAGAGAGAGAGAATGTGGTATTTTGTGGGGCTTCAGGGAAGGGAGAGACTGGAGGTTGGGCTCCAGTGGTCAGAAGGAATTCCTTGGAAGAATCTCATTTGGTTCTGCGTCCTCTGTCCTCTCTTGCCTCCTTTTTGAAAAGGGTCAAAGGTCATCTTGGAGAGGGAACATGGACAAAAATATATAATAAGCCATTTAGCAGACACTTTTATCCAAAGCGACTTAGTCATGCGCGCATACATTTTTACGTATGGGTGGTCTCGGGGATCGAACTCACTACCCTGGTCTTCCAAGCGCCGTGCTCTACCAAATGAGCTATGGAGGACCATGCGCTTGTATGAAATTAGACTGCCCTCCACTCGCGCGTCATCAGGCAAATTAACGTTTACAGGGTGGAATCCCAAAGTAAAATGATAAAAACAAATGTAGCTAGTTGTGCAAGACATTTTATAGATGAAAGGATAAGTAGCATATCGTTTTTAAATATTTGGATGCTTTTCTCAGAGAAAAAAACTGCTGATTCAAAGGGGGTGTGGCGGATATTCAAACACTTCCACGCTTGCCACGGCGAGGATACTCTTGTGCTTCGAGGATACTCTTGTGCTTCCTCTGCCAAAGGAGGTAATCAATGAGGTGAGCAGACCACTTCGTTCGACCTACTAATGAACTGACACGCTACTCGACCACTTATCGGTTTCTGGGTCACGGAGGAGTCGAGGTCTTTTGCCCAAATGAGAATCTCCCCCCGTGTTCAGTTCTTCTCTGAGCAAAGTTTATTTGTGAGTGAAAAGCCAGGCTCACCATTATTCACTGAGGAAGTCTCTTGTGTAGATGTGTTTTTATCAGAGTGGGGGATAAATGAAATGCCAGACAGTCTAGCCCATTGATAGCCTCCACCAGACCTGGGTTCAAATACATGTGTATTTGTTATATAAAAAACGTATTTCTGTGTATTTGGGTATTTTCAAATACAAAGCCCCAAAATGTTACTTTTATTTCAGTATTTGAATGGTTATTTGTAAAAACCAAATAGTCGACCAAATTGTATTTGAAAGTACTTTCAAATACCTGGGTAAATGCATGGGAGTGTGTGTGTGTCAGTGTATTTGAGTATTTTCAAATACATTCCAATATTAAACAATTTATCTGAATACTTGTTTTGAAAAGTAATTGAAATACCTGAAATATATAGTATTTGAACCCAGGTCTGGTCTCCACATTTATCGTGTTCGTTCAATGGTGTTTGATTTTGTCGAATATTTTTGCAGATGGGTAGAATATAAGATTTTTATTGTATTTATCCACATCACAATCAAACAAATTGCCATTGATAACTATGGGGGCCATTATCCAGCCTGCCATGCCATCTGTAAAACCTGCATGACACAACATCTGAACCTTTATTTCTAACCTTAGCTACAAATGCTTTAAAAAGCTCATTATACATGTTTAGATCAATTACACAAAACTCAATTCTGCACAGGCTTACAATTGCTTGTTTAAACAGTTGTCACATTCAATTATTTTGGGCAATTAATGAATGTCACAACTGTTTAGTCCCCTAAAACATTGAGACATCAGTCACGACAGTTTGTTATTAGATCCCTACAATGATAATGACATGCACGTGTTCAAAGATTTCCTCGGTTATTATCGCATATCTGTGATGCATTAAAATTGCCAAGGAGCTCCTCCAACCAGCTATGATGAATAAGTCAGAGATTATTGCTGCCTTCGTAACCAAGTGGGAAGTGGGAATTTACCACGTACGACTGGGAAAAATCCACTTGAACGGGGAGAGGTTATACGGACACGCCTGGTGCCCAAATTGATGAGGTTTGTCGGGCAGCGAGAGCCGAGTGGAGACGAACGGATTTGGTTCAGTCAGTCTTCCTGATGAGCCCTTTCCAGCTAGCTAGTTTATGCTATGAGCCGAGTGGAGACGAACAGATTTGCTTGCGCCTAGAAAAATCTAATGTCATTCGTTAATGCCATAGTTGAGCTGTCACCCTGGCCTGATATTGGCTACACTAGCTAGCTACTTCCTTCTCCTTACTGGCCTGATATTGGCTACACTAGCTAGCTACTTCCTTCTCCTTACTGGCCTGATATTGGCTACACTAGCTAGCTACTTCCCTCTCGTTACTGCAGGACAGCAGTCGGCAAGCAGGAGCGAAGGACACTACCCTTGCAGTGCAACCCCCTTCCCATTGAGCTGTAGACAGTATCACGGTGACATCCAGATGGTTACTACCAATATTACAAGTTATTTACCGTGTAGGCTGCTATCCTACTGTAAACAACATCAAATCCATATGGTGGCTAAAATGGCACTGCAGTGGATAGCGGCTGTTTTAAGGGCTCCTGACCAATTCTGCTATTCTATGTTTTATTTTACGCTGATCGTTATATTTTTTGTACATAATGTCTCCGCAATCATTTCCTGACCGTAAACAGCTTCTGCACATCAGAAAAGCGATCACTAATCTCCATTTGGAAGAACATTTCTACTTCAACGAGTCGGCAGCTCGTTCTGCTTACTCCGGACCAGGCCCTGATCCCCGGTGACTCATTACTCCGGACCAGGCCCTGATCCCCGGTGACTCATTACTCCGGACCAGGCCCTGATCCCCGGGACTCGAAAGAGGAAGCGGTGGTGAAAAAGAGGTAGGTGAGGCGGCCTCCTAACGAGATGACGTCAGCGAACAAATAGACCGCCATTGCCCTTTGTTCTGGGAGCGAATGTGCAGTCACTGGAGAACAAACT